TATTGCGCTCACTCTTTATAGCAAATTTGAAGGTATCATTGAACAGAAACGTGTAAAAAATTATAAATAAACACAAAAAACCTTTCTCATTAATTTCAAGACAAAAAGGAGAGCCCTTCAAGACATAATAAGGATATTAATTTATCGCATCTGCAGTATAAAAAAAAGTATGAAGAATTCTACTGGCGGTTGAGTGGTTATAAATAAGCGATGAAACACAGCTGAATAAATTGTGCAGAATAAATTACAGTCGAGTGCATCATGCTGAATAAATATCCAATCTCACCCTCTACATTATCTATTTATATATGAAAAATAAACGAGAGAATAAGTTAATGCAATTTTTCCAGTTGTGATTTTCACATTTTTGAATATGTTCAATTATCTTAAATTATCTTCTTCTTCTGAAGCTCGAAATACTTAAAAATAGAGTTAAAATAAGAACCTTACAGAAATGATATCCATAAAAATTGAAAGTGAAATGTTTTAACCAAATTACCTCATCTAAGATCGAACTAATTTCCAAGGAATACGTTTGAAGAATATGTCAACAGTTATTTTAAATTTAAATTTTAGTGTATGCAACTATAACAAGTTGATTTACCCTTTGTATGGTGGTAAGCCCCCTTCATAAATTCATAAATATTATTTTGTCCATTTTATCTTAACATCTCATTTATTTATTAAATACGTAGGATTTTGTTTAATTAAACTTACTAATTTACCATAACAGACAAAGAGCATGATCTTGATAAAGAGTACGGTTGTGAATACGCTTTTTGAACATCTTCTCAAGATCCCCGTAAAGAGCATGTTCAATAGCGGACTCAATCATCTTCTAATTATAAATAACTTGCATGCAAGTTTTTCCTTCATAATCTTTTTTTATACTCTCAAGAGCATGATCAGAAGAGTTTATAAAAAGCATGATCATTGACATCCTCATGAGATTATGCTCAAATTTTTCTTGCTTTATACTTCACAAGAGAAAGCAGAAATCACTTTAATAAGTAATTATTTTGGATTTTGTATAGTTTAAATATTTCTATTCGCCATTTGAAAGTTATTTAATTTCAGAAGGCATTAGACAAGAAGAACAGTAATCAGGACATATTACAACACATCGTACTCGGGTTCGAATAAAGGCAATCACCAAAAAAGAAGAAAATTATCAATTTCTCAAAATCATGATCAAGAGCATAATCACAAGCTCATACAATTTTTTAAATAGTAAAATTAAAGCATGATCAGCAGAACATGTTCTTGATCATGATCTCAAGTTTGACTTGCATGAATAATTTGCAAGTAAAAAAGCGTACTCTTAAGAGCGTGATTTCTGTGGTACCCTGCTGCGATCTACATTTATATGGGAGAGTACGCTAATTTAGCGTCATCAAATTAAAAAATTGTTTTTTAAATCATGCTCAGATCGCGCTCTTTGTCTGTTAATATTATAAGCATTGTGATCATCTCCTCAACACTAAGTTAAAATGCAGAATTTTACCGAAATCTTCAATAAATCCAAACCTAGAAAAATCAGATTTCATTTAATACAGAACCAAACAAGAAAACCAGCTAAATTGGAAAAGTACTTAAGAACTTGTAGAACAGCTTAAAAGCACACAATCGAGAAAATTAAATCTTTAATCGCAGCAGTAACAAGAAATTATTACTTGCGACACAAACTTTTTATTTCCGAGGACCTTTTGCAAGAATTTGTTATCCACATTTACAAAAGATGTTTCCAAAGGCATTACTTTATTGCTTCTCAATATAAAATAAATCGGTAAAAAAAGGCAAAATTCTAAATGAATGCCGCAAAATAATTTTTATTTTTCGATCTCTCAGTTTTCCGTCACTGCCACAAACATTTAAGCGGATTTGAAATGTCAGAATGGAAGTGAGATGGAAAAAAGAGTATAACAGCCATCAGCTAAAATTGGCTGATGTTTTCAAAAAGTATAATTTTTTTTGTTCTTTTAAGTTATGCATAAAAATTTATCAGACATAAAATGTTTAGTAATGGAATCGAATCAATTTTCAAAGCATGTCCTTTCATAAAAATAAATTCACAAAAAAAATTGTTCTAGTGTAATGCTCTGAGGAATAAGCCCCACATAAAACATATATTCTCATTTGAACCGAAATTCGTGTTTATAAAAGGTGGTAAAATGTGATGGCTACATGCTTGATTTTTCAGAGTTTTGTCTTTAATTTCATTTATGACCCAAAGTGTAGAATGTCAAATCTTAGGGAGAATATCTTTAGTAGTCCAAGAAAGCAACCCCCTTAGATCCTCAGCATTCTAAAAGCCCATCTAGTCACCCCATGAATAAATAGGAAAAGGAAGTTGAGAAAATTTATTTGTTTTATGAAAGTGCACAAAAAAGCTTTTACAAGCTTTCCTTTATACGCAATTTTCCAGCTAGTGGTACTTTTATATTTTCATGATTCAGTAGCATCTGTTGGAATTCAATAGGATGAATGAAAACAAAAAAACGTAGTGACAATGACAATTCAAGCGTTAATATTTGATGAGTATTATTTTGTTTCCTTTGAAACCTTATAACCGTGAAACTAAATTTTTTTTTTTTATATTTTGTTATGTCAAAAAAGAAATAATTGAAAATTCAAAAAGAAATTTTATGATTGGGAATATTTAAAAAATTCAGTGCCAGTAAAATCGATTTTAGACATTTATTAACGTCTTTCTGCAAAGCTGACGTCATCTGAACACATTTTTCTTTTCCTAAATCTATCCTCATATCTCTTGGAATATTTTAAAAAGCCTTTAGAGCATTGAAATTGATTTGTTGCAAAGGACTTGATTCCTTTTTTCTACATTTCCACATGACCGAATATCGCAGATGACTATAGCATGTATGGATTCTCTTTTTTCTCTCATCTAACATTAATATGGATTTCGAAATGAAACAAACAATCTTATGGGAAAATGGATGTCAAGTTGAAGAAAATCTCAATGGATATGACAAAAATTATATCAATCGTAATAATAGGTATATGTCTTGATTTTAAAAAAGGATGGCTTTTATATCTCAAAAGTTGAGAGTTTCTGAAGTATCTAATCTAGATTGGGATAATCTACGCATGTGATTATAGAAGAATAAGCTGTATTGAAAGTAAATTTGATCTGCTAACAATAAACATCTAATTTTTTAAAACGTGAAATTAGAATTTATTAAAGTAAGGGAAATTAGAATGTTTTTTAAATGAAAAATCCCTTATCAAAAGATTTTATAGATTTTGTTAATTCGTATTGACATCTCGTAGACATTAAAACCTTAATTAGACGTTTAATACTTAGCTTTGTTGTTTCGTGTTTGACTCTCCTCTCTCTTGAATTGTTTTCTTATTCCTTAATGGCTTATTAACTTTCATTAAATCACTTTTATTTTTTTTATCACAATTCTTTAAAATTCAACTTTTAAGATGCTTTCACTAAATCGATTTCAACACTTGTTATTCATTACTTATGTCTTTTAATTAATTAAAACCGCGCAGCAAAGATATTTGCAGAAACACGTCTTGTTTCTTCAAAGTTTTTAAACTTAAGAAAATTGTAAAAAAATGAAAAATCAATGATTACTAAGAAAATTGACATTAATTTTGATTAAAGTACTTAAATCATTGTCATTCAATGAATATTCTTCATTCAGCTCTGACACATGCGATTTTGTATTCTTCTTTTAAAATTAATAGAATTAATTTGCTATTTTGAATAACTTTACTTTGATCATCTCCCAACTGAGATTAATTTTCTAAAGCGTATAATAAAGTCTGATAGCTTAAGGATTAATTTTCAAGCTCTTGTTTATGTTGCAAATGTGAAAATTAATTGAAAAGTAGAGACTAAAAATCACGAGCAACACACTTCAAATAATCCCTTTTTTGCAGCATGCAGCACACATGAGAGGATTCTGGTTGGAAACTTTTTCACAACAAAACACAAAAAGCTCATATTTTTCATTTTATCATCAACTCCTGAAATAGCATTGTAGCATAAACATAGAATTGATATTTTCCTAACATGCCAACCTCACTCAAGCAAGCAGATTATTTATGTCAAACTATGGCTGAAGGGCAACTTTCATATTCTCATTTGAGGCTTTTTTTAGATACAAATGTAGTTCAGTGCTAGAAAGCAATGATGCAAAGATGAAGAAAGAAATAAGGAAGAGAGTCTCAGAAGCAGCTGTTTTAATAGGCATCTCAAGTGTTTAAATATGAAAAGCACTTTCAAATGAGATGATTAATTAAAATATTGTTTAATAAAACATGCTTAATGGAATAAAGTTTCAAACTTTAGACATCACCTCAATATGACTTCCTTAAAACAATATAAATTGTTAAGGTTTAAACATGTTCACAGGTCATGGACTATAAATCTGTAATTTGTATGCATGCATGCTTTTTAAAGTCATCTGAAGATGTCACATACTGCCTCATAATATATTAGCTGACAGATATGAGAATCTATTGATAAAAGCAGAAGACCAAATAATGCACTAAATCATTGTGATAAAAGGATAAATGATGTGAAAGCATAAAAAAATTGAATACGTTTGCTGCTTACTCTTATTTTTAACATATGTCATGTGCTGTGTAAGACATGAAAGATTGTGATGATAAATTGCTCCAGCATTCTTTATTTGATAGCTTACTATGCATTATGTATTTGAAATTAAATTAACATATAAATTGCTAATTTGGAGAGGATAATTAAGGTTTAGTTCCGTTAAATTTGAAATTTTATCCAAGACACACGACTTTCTTAAAATTCAAATTTCAATTGTCCGTTATAACTGTAATAAGAAGCTGAGAATGGATATAGAACGAAGGATGATCACAAGGAAGTCTTCAACTTTAGGATTAATTCATTCAATTTATTATTTATTCTAATTCATATATCAGGAGCAAAAAGTTTTAATAATTTGAATTTTGAATCAATTTTGCCGTCTTCTCTATTTACATATGAAGAACAAGAACATTTAGTTCCCTGGATGTTTAAGATGTTGCAACAAATTTTATTATTCATTTTTAAAACGAGGTTGACTTTGTTGATTTATAAATATCGATTAGAGTTAGCAGATGCATGTCCCATAAGTAAATTAACTGCTTGTTGTGTTTCTAAAAGTAATTTGACTTCCTCCATCCACTGGCTTGAAACTTTACGTGATGCACCTTGAAGCAAATTCATGTATCTAAGTGCTTGCACAAAATTGCCTCTTTCCATCCAATATCTAAGCAATGGTAAAAATAGAATTGAGTATTTATTTATTTATTAAGGATATAGATTGGATTTACCTTGCTCTATTTGTAATATCATATGTATCCAATTTACTAAAGTCAAATTCCTTATCCAATAATTCATCTTGTGTGATTGGATCGGATGGTGTAGCAATTAAAACTCCTTGGACAAATGACAATAAATAAACGGGAAGTGTAGCACCTTCTGCTGGAACTAAAGCAAGCTTTCTGGCAACATTAAAGACATTAACAAATCGTTCGCGAAGTGCAGCTTCTGGAAAAACGCCACGATTTTGTGCCTTTTCTGGCAGTGAATTGATGACAACAGCCACAAGTTCATCACCTTCTGCTGCAGACTTTACAGCATTAATTTCACTTTTTAATGGACGTAGCTGTACACGCCATGACTTTCCAGGCTCACCTTCACGCATACTCGACCACAGTGCTTGACAAGATGCCCAAAGTGATTGTGCTTGATAGGCACTCTTCTCATTATCAGCGCGTTCTTTAAAATAGAGAAAAAAAAGATGTTAATTTGCTGTGAAAAATCTTTTAAGGTATAAATAATTTATGTGCGTCATTACGATGAGTTCTAAATATGTAGCTATACCTTTCAGTTCCTCGTCAATTTCTTAATTTGTTGCGTGTAAATATAAACAGTTTATGTTTGATTTTTGATGTCTAATTAATGCCACTTTATGAGTCTTTAAATAATTACCTTTCAATGCTGCATCCATTCCTTTGATTTTGCCCAACATTATTGCTAATTGTGTATTGTATGATGCACGTTCATTTGCCAATCTTTCGTCCATTTCTCTGTTGAACAAACGTTTCATTTCTAATTCTTTTTGTGACAATGCGTCATTCAAATGATCAGTATGAGCTTCAATTTGCTTCTTCAACTGATCTTTTAAGTTTCTTTCTGTTTCTGCCTTGATTTTGATGATCTATAGACAATAATGAAATGTTTTAATTACAGAACTTTGTGTTTAAGTCATTAATATTACCTTAGCTTGATTTTGGATGTTCAATTCCCTTCGTTCTTTCTCAAGTTCATAAGCAAGTTGTGCTTTAACAGCTTCCGAATGATCAGATCCACGAACAGCATCAATTGCACGTTTCAACTTCAATTCACCTTCAGTTTGAAGCTTTTGAAGTTCTTTCTGATAAGCCATTACGTGCGAATATGCATTAACCAGGAACAGATCGACATCTTCTTTCGATAAGTTAAGAGTTTTCTCGTTTAAGTTAACGCCAAAAAGTGACTCAATTTCTTTAACGAAATATCCACGAGCAGCTTCGACTTTTCTCCAGTAATTCTCACTTGTTCCAGCAAGTTGTTTTGCTTTAATCACTTCTATTTTAGCTGCATTCAAATGCTCATTAAAACCTTCAATATGATTCTTAAGGACACTCTTTGCTTCATTGCTTATATTAACAACATTATTTTCAATTTGTTGTTCAAGCTCTTGAAGCTTTTTGCGAGCAGCTAAAGCAGCTTGTTCTGCTACTTCAACGGCTGCATCACGCGTTAATGTCTTATTTTTTAATGCTGTCCATGCATTAATATCGATATTTTCTACTGCTGAATCTACAATCTTCTTTACCTCATCATTGTATGTATTAAGAACATTGACAGCCTTGCTGTATTCCTTTAATGCAATTTTTGCAGCCGCTTCAACACTTTTCTCGAAGTCTGTAAGTGATTTTGGAATTTCAACCTTTTCTTCCTTCGGTTTTTCGATTACTGCTGGTTTTTCAGCTACTGCTGCTTTCTTGGCAACTACAGGCGCTTCTTTTGGAGATGACGTTTCTGGTGGTTTAGAAATTGGAGGTGATGGAACCGGAATTGTTGATGTTTGTTGTGAAACTGGTGTCGTCGATGTCTTATGTTCTGATGGAATTTTTGAGCTGCTCGTTGGCTCATATTTAAAAGGCTTCTCGGGCTCTAGAACAGAATATTTTAATGCTATAACTGGACATAACAGATAAATAAAATTTGGACATACTTTTCTCTTCACTACTAAACAGATTTGTCACTGATGACGTTATGTTGCTAACTGAGGATGTTATGCTGCTCACCGATGATGATAAGCTGCTTACAGATGATGTCACGGTCGACTTGTATTCTTCAAATTTCTTTGAAACATCATTAAATGGATTTTTGTCGTCAATAAACACCTCTAATACTGGTTCAATAGCCGGGACATTTTTGACAAGCAATTTACGGAATTCATTATCATATTTCGCGTAAGCAACAACACCGCCTGTGACAGCAATTGGAGACAAAATCAAGAGAAACTTTCCGAATCCAGCTTCCTGCAAATGGGGCATTCGCGAACTATTGTAATGACGTAGGAATACTCCTGACTGTTTACTCTAAAAATAAATTAAAATTATCAGGCATAACAAGTTGGAAAAAAGTGTCAAATAAATCGATTCTGATTGCATAATTTTTTTAAACAAAAACAATTTGCCGTTAATCTATACAATTATAGACTTATTCATGTATTTACTTACATATTTCACGCCATGACAAGTTTTTTGAAGCAGGATGCGATTCATTATTTGATTTAATTACTTGAAAATCCAGATTTTAATTATTTTTCACCTTTAATTTTTTTCTCGTCAACTTTGCTCGAATATTTTCGGTCCATTCCAATGGATTGGAAGTAGACTGGAAGTTGTTTTAACATAACCTTACAACATTCCAATATTCCAGTCTGGAAATTAAAAATATTGAAAAGTTGTGCTTTAAAAAAAATATTTAAAATATGTTTCGAGCATTGATTCCAGGTGATTTAAACATTAATTATAGCATAATTCAATTGATGACAAAACATTCTATTACAGCAATATCAAATGTTGCAGGATTAGCGAGGAATCAAGTTAAAATCAACACTTTAAATGTTTTGGCAAGAAATTTCTCACAATTTTCAATTAAGCCTGTAAACATTCAATTTCCTGCATTAAATACAGCCTGTAATACGCAAATATTAGCACAAAAGTCACTAATTCAGCCATGTCAATCAACAATTGTAAGAAATTTAACAAAATTCTCATTAAGGAAGGCTAAAAGGAAAAGTGTAAAGGCAGTTGTAAGTTCTAAATCAGCTCACCGACAAAACTGGATATGTCTAACTCACTGGATCTTTTCAGATTAAGAGATTTTTACGTCTTGACTGGGGAATTTGGATTCGAACTCGTGCAGGACGTAATAAGAGAATCTGGAGAAAATCACCAGCACAAAAGTATAGAGCCAGACAACATGTCTTCTGTAATGCAACACAGTCTCATATGCTAGATAAAATGGCAGGCGAATATTACAAGAAGCCAAAGTACTTTGTGGATGACCTTTATAGACCATATCATAGTCGAGAAAGCTACTCAAAAACTGCACGAAAGCCAAGAGATTGGGATTTATAAAGGAACTGCTGTAAAATAGTGAATTAATAAATTTCTATAGATTTAATTAAGTCCACGTAAGTCTAATACTTCTCAATTATAAAGCCGCAGAAATAAGCTATTTATTCACTATCGCTTACAACTGTATTAATAAGCTTCCCAATTCCTTCAACTTCACTTTCTATAACATCACCGACTTTTAAAAACTCTCGTGGATTACGAAATACACCAACACCGCCAGTCGTTCCTGTCAAAATGACATCTCCTGGCAATAAAGTTATGCTTTGTGTTAATCGATGAATTATGTCATCAATCGGAAATATTAAATCGTTTGTGTTGCCGCACTGCTTAAGTTCATTATTGACACTACATCTAATTGCGAGATTCGAACTATCTAGTTCACTTTTGTGGACAATCGAAGGACCTAAAGGACAGAATGTATCCATACTTTTAGCAATCAGCCATTGTCCACCATTCTTCTTTTGCCATTCTCTTGCTGTTATATCTTGTGCTACAGTATATCCGAAAACATAATTCATCGCACATTCTTTACTAACATGAAATGCTGGAGATCCAATAATTACAGCTAATTCGACTTCCCAGTCCATCTTTGTTGTGGTTTTATGAGCTATAATGTCATCAGTTGGACCAATAATTGAAGATTGAAATTTACTGAAGAAAATTGGTTCTTTTGGTATTTCAATCTTTTGTTCTTCACAATGATTTCTATAGTTTAAGCCTAGACATATGATTTTTTGTGGATTTAATATCGGAGCAACAAGCTTTACTTCTGACGTTTTAATCTTCTCAAAGCACTGGAACCTATCTTTAATCTCATTTAAATCCACTCTCTTCTCAATAAACTGTCTCATGTTGTTTGGATATCCACTGTACCTAGATAGTTCCATGATTTCTTCTCCGTCATGCTATAAACAGAAGAGTTATGAAAAAGGTTCAGATATGTTGAATGTCACTTACTGAACTCATTCCTAAATGGAGCTTATCATCCTTGACATACTGAATAAACCTTAATTTTGGTAATGTGCTAATGAAAAATAAAGTATAATTTGGTATAATTAATAAAAACAAAGCTGTAGATGTAAAATCCAGTACCATAAGTTCCTAATCATTGAAGAATTTTTTATCTGAAGGAGGTTTCGCATGTTTGGTAAGTTTAAATTGTTTTAATCACAAAAATTTTGTTGACAACACACAGAAACTATAGAATCAATGAATAAAATGTCTACTATAATTATTTTGGAACAAATTTAAAATCAAAACAAACTTCCAGTCACACACATACAACCAAAGATCATTGGAAGTTTTCAAAAAATTTAAAACCGTTGAAATATCCCACGTGATAGCCTTGCACATGCTGTTAATTTATTGCAATGATTGATGAGAATGTAACATATCACAATCGCGAACAGCTGAAAAAAAATTCCAAAAATGGTTCATTGTCACTTAGAACTTAAAAGTCTGTTAATTAAATTCATTGATACAGATAGATCAGTCGTTCAAAATTCATTAGTAAACGTGCGTTCGATCGATAAAGATGATTTTTAAGTGCTTATTCTGTCAACAATCAATATTGGATGGCGATCTTGTTTGTGCTACAAAATGTGAACATTTTATTCACGATTACTGCATAGATGAGATGAAATCGTAAATATTCATATGAAGCTGTTCACTTATCAAGGAACACTCAATAAATGAATAGCTTCATGTCCAATTGGATTCTTATTTTGAAGACGTAGTGACATGTGTTATTTTATAGACTAGGAGATCATGTTTGCAAGAACTGCAATAAAATTACCGTAGTGATTGATGTTTATAAAGAGTTTGATAAGGCAAAAGCAACGACAATTGATGGAATGACAATAATTGTGGACAAACTCAATGAGTTGATAGGTTTGATGTAGGAACAACCAATTATTCTATTAGCACCTTTAATTATGCTGACTTATTTATTATTGCTAGAAAATCACGTGAAAATGCGATCGAAGATTTAACAAAGAAACATGACAAAATATCGGATCGAGTGTAGGAACTCTTAAAATACTTGTAATTTGCAAATTTAATGCTTATAATCTTTTTAGTGACAGCTTAGCAATTGAACACCGTGCAGTAAAATTCTTACAGCATGAAATGACCAAACAAATCAATAATCTTGAGCATAAAAACAATGGCAATAATCCTTAAAGATACTCAAAATGGAATTAATTTTATTAACATAAAATCAACTTAAATAATATAGAATTAACAACAAAAAAAGTCGATTACAATACTTTATTTTTTAAACCACTAGCAGTTGATGAGATTTTTACCTTCTTCCTTAAATCGTCAGAGTGATATTTACATGCTTTATGCTTGATGCAGTCAGTCGAATTTTCATCATTTTCATTAATTTTGTTACATTTTTTTTGCCAAGTTGGTTGGATTGACTCAATTTGAGAATCAGTAACACATTTCAAAGAATTAGCGTATATCCACAAACAACGTGTTCTTGAGTTCCTTTGGATGTTTTTTAACTGCTCATAATCATCACGCAGAATCATTCGTCCATCAACATTCTGCATTAGCAGTAAATTCGAATTGGATTCTCTTAAATAAGGTCCAAACAGCAGGAAGTTGCCAGTCATGTTATGTCCTTCTTCCTTTTTAAATTTTAATGGAGCAGTTGGAAGTGCGAAAATTCTTGGTGTGTCCTTTGCACTATTAAGTGGACCCAAAATTCTGATTGTTCGTTGGTTAAATCGAGCTTTACTGATTGCATTCATTATGACTCTATAAGGCAAATAGTTCTTCCATTGCTTAATATAAATATCAGAAAAATCATTTGAAACGTTAAAGAGGAACCACTTGTATGTTGATGGTTGCTGTAATAAAATTGGATATGATTAATATTGAAATATTCTGTTGACAGATGTGCAGTGAACTTACCTTTGTGCTATCTTTTGACTTTACATCGTTAGCTTCTTCCTTTTGGATATTTGAATCATTGTGACTATTATCCTTGACTTCCTGATCGTTATTTGAGTCCTGATCTTTAGTGAAGGTCTGAATTGTTGGAGCAATTTTAAGAACACTAGCTTTCTTCAGTCCATACCAAATATTATACACTTTCTGTATCTTAGCTGTCAATCGAGGATGTGTTTGTTTTGTAGGCTTTGCAGAGACTCCATCAAAGTAGTTTTCTTTACTATTCAATAACCCACAAATCCGGAAATATCCCTTACATCCAAATAATAAGACTGTCATGTTCATTGTTTTAGAATTTTCAATTCTTAATAAAATCATCTTAATTAATGCTGAAATGTTGCTGAGTGGTAATTTTTTAATATTTGTGATGTCTTCAGTGTCTGCATTTTCAACATAAGGTGGAGATGATGTGCTTGTGATGATGTACATAAAATATTGTTTCCCAAAGTCATCATTTAATTTGACTTGCCAAATGTTAATCAAATCTTCTTCAAATGATTGTAAAAGTAAGTTCCACTTGTAAATATAAAACTTATTGATATATCCATCCAACGGATGAAGTCCTAATGAATTCGACCTAATAATGGCACAAAGTTTTTGCATTCTCATTGAGAATATTCTATTAAAATCTTTCATCATGTCTGTTTTAAAGCCAGGTGGTGGAGCCTTTTCAAGTTGCTTCCCATTAAATTGTAAAGGTGATGTATCGGCAGAAGAAACAGATGAATTCGAATTTGATCGATCTCGAGTTATTAAAGATAGCTGTTCTTTAACAAAATCAGTTGGTTCATCACCAATCTGGCTTGCAATTTTCTTTCGAACACTTTGAAGAATAATTTCTATGATCCTTGATATTTCCTTCAATAATCCTTTATCCATGATTTGCTTTACTAACTCTGAATCATCTTTAAACAAAAGACTCACAAAATCACCACACATTTTTGAAGATTCTTCTTCTGATTTATAATTTTTCGGGCGAATAATAAAAACAGGATGTTCAAGTTCATCCCTGATTTCATCAAATTTAAGCTTCATAACGTCGATTTTCTTCATATCTAAATAATATCCTAGTCCATCGAGATAAACAAGAGCAACTTTATTATTTAAAATTGATCGAAATATTTGATTTAATCTATTAACTTTGGTATCATAAATATTGATGTAAATCGGTCCGATTCCTCCATTAACAAGTTCAGAAATATTTAAAATTTCCATTTTCGGAGCATTTTCTTTATTATCCTCTTCTAAGTCAATATCTTCTTGTACCTCACAGTGATTTTTTCTTGGTTTGTCAGATTCCATTGGCATAACTCTTCTAGAATTTTCATCATTTTCCTGACTTGGAACTTCTTCAACTTCGATATCTTCATTGTCAATTGAAAATTCTTTACTTGGTGAATTGTTGGAATCGCTCAAAACTTTGATTATATCTGACTTTTCATTATCTGGGACAATTGAAGTTTCTTCAACTATATCATCAATTGGAACTTCATTACTATCTCCCAAAGGTATGTCTTTCGGAACGACAGTTTTGCAAGAACATTTATAAAGATTATGAAGCATACACCAAGGCTGAATATCATCTAAATGTTCTAATTTTTGAATATCAACATTCACATGAATCCATTTCTTTACAGCTTCTTTCAACTGCTTCGTTTCTTCATGAGTTATTCCAGTGTCTGTATGTTGAGCTTTAGCTTTGAATGGTTCATCAATTAATTCCTTTGGTTTAGATTTTTTCGGTGGTTCATATTCGATTTCCTTTTCATTTCCATCAATTACTACAGACTGCATATAATCAGAATACCTTTTTGGAGCTCTTTTTTGACGTCGTGTTTCTGTTTTTTTGTTACTTAAAAGTACTGTATCAGAATCTGTTACAATAACAGTTGGTCTAAGATCCCGCTCGTCTTTCGCTAAATGTGCTAATGCATGGCGTCTGATGTCTTCCTCCTGTTTAAAGAAAATATATAAAATTTTGAAATATTGGAATGTTTTACATCCTTTTAAGAATAACTTACATCGTTAACCCTAGATGAATCCGATTTCACAACATTTGCATTAAGTCGACGAAGTTCGAGCAGCATTTTCTTAGATTGATCAATTTTAAGGTTTTTGGATGTCGATGCTATTTCTTGTAGAGCTTCTTTAGGTTTGATAGGAGCTACTAACGCACAAGATTGTTCTAATGGATCATCTTTTGTGAACATGTCATCATTGAGGTTAATGCATACACTATTCGAGATATCCTTAATGATTTCGACTATTTCCATCTCAAGGATGTCATTTTTATCACAGTCATTTGCAAATGTCCATTTGAATTCATCAAAGTCTTCACAATTAGAATCAACAGAATCATTTTGTTTGATAATTTCTCTCACAAGGATGTTCGGCTTATCATCACAATAAGGAATTGTAAATTCAAAAGTTTTATTTTCATCCGTCACTTCCTCTTTTGTTGACAATGCAGAAAGTGAAAAATTTATCCAATTCTCATTTAAGTCACGATATGGAATTATTTCATTAAGGTATTGCTTAGCTTTTGAATCTAATGGAATCTTATTTTGAGGTTTTACTTCTAATTTTATGTCTGGCATTCTGAACTTCATAAAGTCGCCTAGAAAAGCGCTATCTTCGTCATTGTCTGTTAATTTTCGGTTTCTATTGATCTCTTCAATCTTTTTAATAAGAGGTCTTGGCTTAATTAAGCTCAATTGATTACAAAGGGTTTTTGCTTCTAACTTCTTATATGGACTTAAATTTCCCTCAAGTATGAATTTTTTGATGCTTTCGACATTTACTAAATTATCAATTATCCGTTTTTTAACTTTCCCTCCTTCACAACACCTTACTGATCGTAGAGAAGTGGTTTGATGTTTGTGGAATGGCTTACATGATTGTGCTGGTAAAAATTTATTCCTGTGATTTCCTTTAGAACCCGTTAATTTGAAACTATGTCCATCAATGTTAATAAACTGTTGGATATAATTATCTTCTTCAGTTTTTAACCAAGATAATGCTTTCCATGGTCCATACTTTAGTGGAATTTCATCCTCAGATAAATCATCAATAAATTGATAATCAACTGCCTTGCCGCTCATTTTTCTCTGAATTTGTTTAAATATTTTTGATTCTTGTTCAATCATTAAGAAGCTTAAATTGCTGGCAAGAAGCAAACGTTTTTGTGCGAGTGTTCGTGGATGCTTAATATTTGATGGATATTTTGGTGCCTTCATTAGGGGTGGTTGTGATTTTGATGACATTTTCGACTTATCATCATGTTTATTTGATGATACTTTTTTGTTCCTTTTAATCGCTTCCTCGTACTCACTAGCAGAATTAACAAATACAGACGAAATTGATTGATTTTCTACCACTGGAGTTGGTAGCATGTTTGGATTCTCTGATTTTGTGAAAGCAACTGTGCTTGCGATTTCAACAAGTAAATCATCATCACTAGTTTTAGATTCACTTGAAATTTTCTTTGGCGAAATATCTGATGCTGAACTTTCGGAATAGTTTCGACGAAGCTTATCCAAAAGTATGTCAATAAATGAAGAAGTTGATGAACGACGTGATTCATTGCTTATAGCTTTATTTGAACTCTCATCTGGTAATGAATTTTTTCTTTCATCCATAATCATGACTGGAATAGGTTGAAGTTCCGGCAATGCTTCTTCATTTGATGTGTTTATGACAGTGTCTGCTGTAGACTTAATATTTATTTTTATATTAGGAGAATAAGTCATATTTGATAGAGGAATAAGTTCTGGCAATTTTCTATTTAATTCTGTATTTACATCATTAGTTTCACAACTTAATTCTTCTAGAAATTGATTTTCCAAATTTTCTTTGAACATTTCAATTGAATCACTAATGCCTAGTCCTGAATCGTCTTTATTTGATTCGCATAATGAAATTTTATCACTTTTACAAAATGATGAACGTCGCTCGGGCAACTCATCAAGCAAATCTTCTTCATCAACATTTGAAAAACTTTGATATGCATCCATAGTTGATTGCTTTAACTTTTGAAAGAGAAATAAAGTTTTGAATTTATTTTGTTATATAATATTTTTGAGGTTAAGTTTGAGAATTTTGAAATCTTTAAAGCTAGAAACTAGTTATTTTCATCAGAAAAATTGATAATTTAAATGAATAAAATAAATTATCAACTTATAAAGATTTTAAAATTTCACAAATTATTCAAAAACATTCTCAATGTAAGGAAATAAAACAAAAATTACATTATTTTCAGAGCACACAAGATAATAAAACAAAAATGGCGACTTATATTGAAAAAAATAATTATATAATTATTACCTTGCAGTGTGTTTAATGCATAAATGTGTAAAAAAAGCTAATAACCAAACTTCTTAATAAGCCGCAATACTTTTATTTATTTAAAATTTAAGTCATTTACTACATTTTTAAGCAATCGAAAAAAGTCACTTTAAATTATCATTCCACGCTTTTTACAAAGTTTCTTACGTAGGTTTCCAAGGGGCTTCACAATTAAAAATCTAAACGCTAAAGGATAGATTGTTTATTTATTAACCATACATAAGATAAGAAAATCGTCTATTTTAAAAGAGCTATATTACTGTCTAGAGTCAATATAATGTCTTTAATTTATTAATTAAGTTTCTTAAACAATTTACTAATTTGTACTAATTTATCAAAACTTTAAAATTTTATTACTTTTTCCACTGCGTTTATTTACATGAAAACTTTTTTGAACGAGGGGTAGACTTTTTGGATGAAAATATAGATTCACGCTCTTCCATTTTTTGAATTCATGCTATAGCACAAAACTTAAAACAATAAAGAACATTCTAGAATAAAAAAAAATCACGTGTCTGAATTGTTCAATAATAAAATTTTTTTCTATCCACAAAAATAAATTTTAAAGCTGTTGTAAGGCATTGTAAAAGTGCTTCATCATAGTATCCTCATTTATTTACATTTTCTTCATCACTGTGTAAAATAATTTTTTTTTAAATCCTCAAGTTCCGTACCCCTCAGCTGCTTTGAAAAAGCAATTTTTCCCCAACTTCTTCGCTCGTCTGTTTATACTCAAATTAAAAATCTTTAGATAGTTGAGCTATATAGCAGCATGTCACTATTAACAAGAAGTTTTGTCAGATGTCTGGTTCAGGTGAGTTCAATAGTGACAATCATTGAAAATTAGAATCTAAACCTTTATTATTATGCAACATCACACATTGAAAAATTCCTTGAGAAAAAAACATTGATTTTAAAATAAATGCCTATTTTAAAGGCTTCATCACGCAACATCCACTCAACTGCTGCATTAGCTAGTCCCACAAAACCAGAAGGACGAACAACATGCACTTTGATTCCTGGAGATGGTGTTGGTCCAGAATTGATTTATTCGGTACAAGAAGTATTCAAAGCTGCTGATGTTCCAGTCGATTTTGAACCATTCTTCCTATCTGAAGTAAATCCTGCATTAAGTTCTCCTCTTGAAAGTGTTGTTGCATCTATCAAAAAGAACAGAATTTGCTTAAAGGGAATTTTGGCAACACCCGATTACAGCAATACTGGTGAACTTCAAACACTGAACATGAAACTTCGTCATGAACTTGATTTATATGCGAATGTTGTGCATGTAGTGAGTTTACCTGGTGTAAAAACTCGTCATCAAGGCATTGATGCTGTTGTTATTCGTGAGCAAACTGAGGGAGAATATTCAGCACAGGAACATGAGTCAGTTCCAGGTATAAAATGAACAAAATAAAGTCCTGTGTATTAGTAAATCCAAAACTTATTAATTTTAGGCGTGATTGAGTGCTTAAAAATTGTAACCGAAGCAAAATCAATGCGCATTGCCAAGTTCGCATTTGATTATGCTGTCAAGCACAACCGTAAGAAGGTTACTGCCATCCACAAAGCCAACATCATGAAGTTGGGAGATGGATTGTTCCTTAGGAGCTGCGAGGCAATGGCCAAGCTCTATCCTAGAATTAAATTCGAAAAAATGATTGTAGATAATGCTACAATGCAGCTTGTCTCAAATCCACATCAAGTATGAAGTTTTTATAGCTTGTAATTTTAATTATATGCATCACATGACTGTTTACTCTCGTTTATAGTTTGATGTTATGGTTGCACCGAATCTCTATGGTAATATTATTGACAATATCTCATCTGGACTTGTCGGTGGTGCTGGAGTTGTTGCTGGTGCTAGTTATTCAGCTGAACATGTTGTTTATGAACCTGTAAGATAAAATTTATTGATTCTAGTTTGTTTCTCTTATTTATCCTGTGTTGATTTTTTAAGGGTGCACGCCATACATTCGCTGAAGCTGTAGGCAAAAATATTGCCAATCCAACTGCAATGTTATTATGCGCTTCAAAGATGCTTCGTCATATTAACTTACTCCACTATAGTACACAAATTTATAGTGCCATCAATAATGTCTTAAAGGCTGGAAAAGTGCGCACAAAGGATCTTGGTGGAAATGCAACAACAAATGAATTTACACGAGCTGTAATCATGAACTTGAAGTAAATTTTCATAGAATCAGCAAAAGCATAATTAATACCGTCAATAATAACACTCAATATATTCATCATCGACGATACAATAATGTAGATTGTTAAACAATTGGATTGTTATATTATTTTTACCGTTCTTGATCTCCTTATCATTATCATTTCTATTCCCACCAAATTGTATAAAAGACCCAGAAATATTCTCATGCTTTACAATTGACTATCCCGTTCTTTAGTCCGTAGCTATCTAAATTTATTTATTAAAATTATGTTAAAAACACGAAAAAGTTCAAGCATATTGTTGCCTGAGTGAAAAGTCAATAAATCTTAATGAATTAAATTCAGCTAGAAACGTAGTCAACTTGAGTTTTATGAAATATCATTTTGTGATTTTTTTTCTCTGTCCACAATTTTTTAAGATGAAAGCTTTTGATGATCAAATAAAATCAAATTCTTGTGCATTGGAAACTGGTAGGAGACCTCTGAATTGCAGGAAATATTTTGGATCTGATCATTTGAAGTACAAAAGACAGAAACGATTTAGATGTAAAAACAAGAGAATTGCAGCATTAGCACAGCCAAGATATTACACACCGAAATATGTTCCAAATGAAGACTGGACTTGGAATCAAAATATCGAGATTCAAAGAGATTTTAATCTTTCAACTAGAATCAAAATGCTTTCAGTTCCAAAAGTCAGGAAGCTTACTGCATCATATGAAGACTATAAGAACACAATGAATTATGAAAAATTAAGCAATATCAGCAATCTCATGAACTATTCAATGATGACAATGTACAGCAGACTTGCAAATGTGCAATTAAGTGAGTCTAGAGCACCTCGTCGTAAATGGACACAAAAAGATTGGCAAAGGCATTGTGAATGGCTTCAGAAACGAGCATGTCCCAAAAAGATTCCAAATGTAAAAAAGCCTCCTCGAAAGATTGTTCCTTTGAATGAATTGGAGACATCCATTCATCAATTATCGCAACCTCGTCATCCAGTAAAAAAGTATCGACCGACTTATGGTTATCAGACTGCTGTTAGAAATGCTTCAAAACAGTATATACCAACAAAGCGACTAATCAAACTTTCTGAGCCTAAAGCGGTAAGAGGATTAGAGGAAGAAAATTTATTGGGCGACGAACTTAAAGAAACATTTTATGCTAATCCAAAAGCACTAACGTATAATGCGAGTAAGTTTATCCTCAAATTTCTTCTAGAATAAATGATTCATGATTTTGATTTTAAGCCGATCGAATCAAGCAACTCGCATCTCCAAAGATACAATTTAAAGAAAAGGTTTTGAAAGTTCCTCCAGAAACAACAATTTATGGGGTCGTCAAAAGAGCATTGAAGGCATCATTAAGTGAAAGAACTTTAAATTTATCCAAACCGAAAATCAAAGACAACGACGATGATGAGGAAGAGAAGCCAGCAGTAAGTCCAAAAGCATTAAAAGCAAAAGCCACACCAAGAATTCTTCAACTTGCACAACCACGAATCTTGTAATATTGGTGATCATTGAAAATTCAAATTATTTCTATTTAGTTCAATTTTTGTTCGCATCTTTATAATTTAAATTTATTGTTAATAAATCCTTAGTTGAATTATGGATCATTTCGGGAATCAAAATTGTTTTGCATCATATTCTTACTACCTACAACATGAATGCAATATTATTTGCGGAAAGAAATTCTCTTTGAATGGCAAGAATGGGTAACAATAACCCAAAAGAGTGATAATCTTCAATTTGATGATGCCTTAATTTTAGTGAAAGGAAGCAGAAACAAGCAGAAGCATGGAAGAGACATCAGCTAAGACTTCAATTATTAGCAGCTCCTAGAAAGAGAGCTTCAAAATTAACAACAACAAACGAAGTTAAAGGAGTCGCTATTTCAAAACTATTACCACGATTGAAAGGTAAGATTCTTTGATACTTTTGAGATAGAAATACTCTAACTTGGGCATATCTTATTAGTCATAAGAACTGGTTGAGATTACGAGCACAACCAAGACGATTCCAACGAAAAGTTGTTCTACCTGTCATTAATGAATCTAATGAGAATCAATATTAAGTATTAATTTCAATTTCTTTATTTTTCAAAATCAATTATAACCGGATCAAAAATTAACCATTAAATCATGCAAACTCAATCTTTGGAATGTTGAGCTTTTTATCCTATCGGAACATATTGAAATGTTGTAGCCAAGTGGATTGTACACTCATAAGTAATCTCTAACCACTCTTTCACTGTTTTCAAGTAGATTTTAAGCTATGTTAACAACATTTCAATGTGTGCTGATCGGACTGCGTTCTTAATTCATATGGAAGGATCATTAGCCTTTAACTTTACAATTCGTCTTGAAGCATCCCATAATGCCTTTTGCCAATCGGGATTATTTACGTCACTTCTTGGAACTCCGTACTTTAATATAAAATTTTAAGCTAGATGACATAAAGTCATAACTTTTTATTGATAATATTTACCCGGCAGTTCCTAAAATATCGACCTGTAATACCATTAACTTCATCAGATAATGCAACATAAAGAATTGTTTGTATTCCTTCTTCAAGTGTCTTTAAGAACACACGAACGACACTGAATAAATAATTTGCAGGAAATGGCATATTGCGCCAAATTCCTGTATCTACGACACCTGAAAAATCAAAAGTGAATTAAAATTGTCATTCCGTTAATTAAATGTTTTACCTGGATGAAGAGCATTACAAGTTATATTCGAACCTTTAAGACGACGTGCGCATTCAAAAGTGAACAAAATATTAGCAAATTTTGAATTTCCATACAAATCAGAAGGAGGAAAATGTCCAACAGGATTCAAATGAAAATCATTATTTGGATCCATATAAGATAATGTATGAGTTTTTGATGCCACAACTACAATTCGGACTGGATTCTTTTTAGCTGTTTTCTTCATCAAATCAATCAATAAATGTGTCAGCAGAAAAGGTCCGTAATGATTTGTTGCCATTGTCATTTCAATTCCATCTGTGCTTACTGCTCTCTTAAAATAATTTGAATAGCCGGCATTATGAATGAGAATATCCAGTCTCTCCTCATTCTCATTTACATGTGCTGCAAACTCACGAATTGACTTAAATGAGCTCAAATCCAGTGGATATACGATACAATTCTCATTTTTTGTCTCTTCTATAATCCAATCTGAAAAAAATTGTTTCTCTTTGTATTTATTCGTAGCATGTATGTGTGAATTAACAGTAATGTATTTTGAATAGAGCCTGCTAATTAAGCAATTATTATTCATTAACAAAGTATAGACTGATGAATTTTTACAAATGATGGATATTTAATTGTTTATAAATAAGCAAAGGATTTCAAATATTCTGATTAATTAAACATATTAGCTCTAAAGTTAAGGTTCAATCATTAAGTTACAGGCGCATAACCAGGAGGGGGGGGGGGGGGGGGGGGGTTGGGAGAACAAATCCCCCGACGTTAACAAAAATTTCTTCATTTTGAAATGTTGGAGTTTTATGAACAAATCATAAATAATAAATATAAAAAATTTTTTGTACCCCCCCCCCCCCCCCCTCTTCAAATTCCTTGCTACGCCCCTTTTAATTTGAGTTAACTTTCTATTAGAAATCACTATTTTATTTTAATTTTATGCATTCATCAGCATTTAATAAATAATTATAGAAAAATTTTGACAATCGCATGATTGCAATCGAAACAATGAGGAACATTGGTCACATTTTAATGCTTAATAATAATACTAATACTGGTTTGATCACCCATAGAATTTCACAGAATGTTCACTACAATCCCAAAAGATTTTGGGACATTATTAGCCATAGTTTTTTGTTAGCGACACATTAATATCTAAATTTGAGGATCATGTCTTGTTAGTTTAACAATTTTCTTCGATTCTTCCCACAAAATAGATTGCCAATGTTTGTTAAATACTCGAGCATTTGTACGAGATTCGTGGCAATTTCTAAAATACTTTCCAGTAACATTCTCAAGCCTCTCGGAAAGTGTGACATAAAGAACATTTTTTGCGCCTTGCATTGGACTCTTGATAAAGAATTTAAAGATTGCTAACGGAATGTGTAATGGCAACGGATAATTTCTGTAAATATTTGAATCAACCATTCCTGGATGTAGACAGTTGGCAGTTATACTATGTCTCCTTAATCTTTTTGCTAGTTCAAATGTGAATAGAATATTTGCGAATTTTGAATTGTGATAAATTTGTCCAGGAAACCAACTTTGTGGACCCTGAATTGGATTTAAATCTTCTGATCTAGTCACTTTCATAGTTGATACATGATGAAGTTTTGATGAAACCACAACTATTCGGGCAGGCATAGATTTCTTCATGAGATTAATTAATAAATGTGTAAGCAAAAATGGTCCATAATGATTTACTGCCATTGTAAGTTCAATTCCATCCACACTTTTTCTCTGCTTAAAAATACCAGCATATGCAGCATTATGAATCAATACATCGAGTCTTTTTTCAGTCGCTAAAATTTCTGCTGCAAATTCTCGTACTGATTGCTGTGAACTTAAGTCAAGTTTCCTCACGATGACATTATTATTGCCGGATTCGTTTATTATCTCATCTGGAAATATGGGAGAGGCGCGAGATCAGCAAATGCATTTTTTTTTTCATTTCATTAATTCGGTGGTGCTTGTTATTAATGAAACTATAGTTCTATAAAAATTTTAAAAGCTTAAAAAATGACAGACAATTGAATTTGTGATGTTTAAATTATGTCTAAATCGCTAAAAATGAACTCTACGTGATTAAGTATGTTTACTCACAAAAGCAGTCAAAAGCATTTCTAATTCCACAAGTAATAACATTTTCTTATTGTTAGCTATTCAGTAATAAATTGAAAGCTTTTCAAAATTTTATTTTGAAGTATTGAACAAAATCTCCCAAAAGTAATTAATAACATAACTGTAATTATCATTATCAGATCCCAAAAGCCTTAATAATTAATCTTATAGGAAGAACTTCATCTGTTCGAGTAATGCAAAATTTATTAAAGAATCCTAATCATCAAAGAATTAGATCTGTGCTTGATAATTCAAGGATCTCAGATCTAGATTTTTGTTGATTAAAGTTCCTTAAAACTTTGTATGACTAACGAATTCACAATTAATCAATCTTAGTTTAATTGACTTATAAATAGTCCCAAAGTACATCCCAATTACTTTAAAAGCTTTTAGCTAAGATTTTTGAATTTATATTTTTGGATCTTTTTCTGTCAATTTGACAATCTTTGCGCTTTCTTCCCATAAAATCTTGTGCTTGTCTTCTTCGATAATGTATGGTTGGAGATCCCACTCTTTGCAGTCCAAATAATATTTTCCTGAAATGTTCTTAACGTCTTCTGAGCATGCGAGAAAGAGTGAAGTTTGAGCTCCTTCTTCTGTTGTCTTAAAGAATCCTTTAATGAAGGCCATTGGAATATTTAATGGGAATGGAACATTTCTCCAAATTCCTGAATCGATCATTCCTGGGTGCAACATGTTAACAGTAATGTTTGTGCCTTTCAATCTTCTTGCCAGTTCCAATCCAAACATAACATTTGCGAATTTGCTAACGTAATACAAATAGCCAGGCATTGTATCAATTGGATTTAAATTCTTCAAATTAAGACGACAAAAGCGATAGCATTCAGATGCGACTATAACAATTCGGCATGGAGCTGACTTTTTAAGTAAATCAATCAATAAATGTGTAAGAAGAAACGGTCCATAATGATTAGTTGCCATAGTCATTTCGATTCCATCAACACTCTTCGTCTTGTTAAATGTGTTAGCATATCCGGCGTTGTGGATCAACACATCAATTTTACTTTCTGACTTGTTTATATCATCAGCAAACTCACGAACCGATTTTTGAGAACTCAAATCGAGCTTTTTAATGAAAATATTCTCATTGCCAGATTCCTTAATTATTTGATCTGCAACAAGGTTTGAATGTATGGATGTTATGTTAATTATACATTGTATGCAGCCAAAGAAGAATAGAATGAGCAATCCCTAGCAAATTTAACTAATGAGGTAACTATAAACTACATGATTACATGACCTTAATTATTTACATAACCCAAATTATCTAAACTTTTCATGATTAATGAATGCATGACTAATGTGAACTATCTTGGTGCATTAAATTATAATAGATATGTTAGGGATGATTTTTCTAGCTTGACATTTTGAAAAGAAAGACGTTGTTTACTTTTGAGAAGAAAAAAACAGGTTTGGGGTCGTTCGTTAATTCCGTATCGCTTTTAAGGGAGGTCTTAATTGATAAAAAATAGATGCGAAAGTCGCAACTTAATACTATGGGTCCTCGATTTGAACATGATTTTTCTGGAACAAAACACCTACTTAAATCGAGGACCCCCAGTACGTAAAAAGTGAACGCCCTCAATTAGCAAAATAACAACATTTTCTTCTCAAACCTGTGTCAAGCTAGAAGATGCATCCTTGATCTAATGACTTGATATCAAATCACTCACCTCTAGCTTTATTAGCTGTTTCCATTGTTCGACATGCCATGATAATTCGTGCACCTCGCTTAGCCAAATCTCGTGCTGTTTCTTTACCTATACCACTGTTTGCTCCAGTAATAAGTACAGTTTTACCGTCCATTCGTACCTAAAGATTATTATTTTCGTGAGTTTTTTGCTGATAAATTTTTTAATTCGTATTTTTTTTGCTTACCTTTGATTCGAATTTGCCACATGTTGCTTTTAGCCACAAACGGAAAACGAAGACAACTGTAAGCACGCCGAAAAGCAACGCACTGTAAATTGATACTGCATTTGTATTGGGTATCTCGTACCAAGCCATTTTGACTGCTGTAATTATAATCCAATAAGAAGTAATTAGTTCCACGAATTTACAATTTTTAAGTAGATTGAGCTATCACTTCAATGGAACAACCTGAAGTTTTAGACTCTAGAGTGCTTTTATTAATCGCTGTGGACACATTGTCTGAAGAAATTGCTCGAACAAATGTCATCAAAATGATTTTGAGTACGAAAAAAATTTACGTGATTTTGCTTCTGATCTGAATTAAAACTGACCAACACGTGTTCCTTTTTAAAGCAAAATGTGACAAACCTTCATGCCTAAAATAATCAGAAACAAGTTTTGCGGCTTTTCTTGCGAGATCATCAACTTCATCAAAAATCATCAATATTCATTTATGCATGAATCTTGATATATTTTTACAGGTATGCTTACAAACTTAGATATTTCAAAATTACATCCAAAATGATTTTTTTCTCAAAAATTTTCGAATCTCCTTCAGTCATAATATTATTTCATGGTCAAGAAATAAATTACGAATAGCTTGTCGAGACCATCAATTGTTTGGTACTTGTTTCATTGAATTGCCATACAGAAAGGCCGCAGTTTCTATTACAAAAATAAGCATTACGTAAGTTACACGTCATGAGCTTACTTAACAATTCATCGAGCAAAGATTGAACTTTAAACTTCTGCATTAACACTAATCTTTCTAGGCAACAGTCATTTAGGCTAGGTTTTCTTTAGAATGTATTTAGGCACTCAATTGCTTTCTAATTTGTTGCTTATCAAACCGTAATATTTAAAATTTAGAACGTTCCCGAGTAGCACAAGTCGGATAATCGAGATGAAATCCTACGCTAGGGCGACGTGGTTACGATTCAAGGGCGAATTTCTCGTCATGACGAAAAATTTGCCCTAAAGTCGCCGTTATATCTTCCTTGCGTAGGATTTCGTCTCGATTATCCGACTTGTGCTCTCCGGGGTTAAAGTCAAAAACATCAATTTGGCATAAGAAATAAAATTTGCTTCGAAATCAACAAGTGCCACGCAATCAAGAATCATTAAAACAGGTTAATGCCGATTCCCTTAGAAATTATGCTTTATTCTTCGAAGAATTGAAGAAAATAAACAGTAAAAAGTGCTTAATAATCGATTTTCTCTTCTACAATTTATGTCCAAAATAATCATTATGCACAACTATCAAACCAGAGTTACTATGAAGTTTCGAATGCTATAAAAATTACCAAAAAAAAATCACCAATTATAGTGCCTGCTCTCTACAAAAAAAAAATCAAATTTCACTTATTGCACAACAACAAAATCGAAGTTAATTGTTCCAGCTCACAATACAAAATAAGACTGAACGATTGCAATGCTCGAGCAAGACTGAAGACTGAGAAGAAAATTTTCTTGTGCTTCTTTCCATCAAAACTCTCTTCGCAGTCATGAATGTAAATGTCTTTAATGTTTGAGTGTGTTACAAGCTTGTAAATTAAGAGAGACTGGAACGATCAGATGGAGAAAAAATTGTTTTGGATCTGTAAGCAATAATTATTATGCAACAGCAGATAAACACCAAGCAGTCTGATAATTCAAATTTTAATGATAGTCTTGGCAGGGATGTAGCTAGTGATTGTTGAAGGGCAAGGAATTGCATTTTTAAATTATTTTATTGGATCTTTGTTTTCGGTTCCACATATGATTTACTGGATCTTTGATTTTTGACTACAGACAAGACATAAATCCGATGCCCCTACATACACCTCTGAAACTTTATTTAAACAACTAAAAGCTTTTTATTATTATTATTATTGTTTATTGATCCTGTGACGACATTAAATTTATTCAAAAATAAATCTTATTGTTAATGACAATATCATGATGAGAAGCAATTGTTTTAAATTTTGCACTTAGGTCATTCGTCAATGACTTTTCACATTTGAACTTACACACTATATCGTTGGATCGGAATGACGCAATCTACACATTTTCACAGATTCTTCCCAGAAAATTTTGTTTTTAACTTCATTCTTCACAAAACTCTTCAGCTCTTCCTGTCTACAGTCGGAATAATATTTTCCAGTAACACCATCGAGTTTCTTGGAAACTGCTGTCATGATTGTCGTTTGAGCACCTTCCCATGCATTTTTGAAGGAATGTTTTACTGCTAAATTCAGTGGAAATGGAACTTTCTTAAAAATATCAGTGTTCGTCATTCCAGGATTAACAATCAAGACTGATATTTTTGTATCTTTTAATCTTTTTGCTAATTCTAATCCAAACATTACATTTGCAGTCTTTGTCACATAATATAAAAAGAATGGAAACGTATCGAGTGGATTTAGGTTTGACAGGTCAACATTTGCAATTTTATAGTAAGCTGATGAAATAATAATGATCCGGCATGGAGCAGACTTTTTGAGTAAATCAATCAATAAATGTGTAAGAAGGAACGGTCCATAATGATTGGTTGCGTATGTCATTTCAATTCCATCAACACTCTTCTTCTTATTTGAAGTACTTGCGCAGCCAGCATTGTGGATTAAGACATCTATTTTCTTCTCCGTTCTTAAAATCTCGTCAGCAAATTCACGAACTGATTTTTGCGAACTTAAATCAAGTTTTTTTACGATAATATTCCCATTGCCAGTCTCCTTCATTATACTGTCTGAAAGTCATGGATATTTTTTTTTTATAAATTTTTTTTTTTCATACGTTCTGCAAACCTACCTCGAACTTGATTACCAAGATCAATTTTTCTACTGGCCATTATTATTCGAGCACCTCTTCGTGCTAAATCACGAATTGTTTCCAAACCAATTCCATTATTTCCACCGGTTATGAGAACTGTTTTCCCGTCCATGCGTTCCTAAAGTTGAGAATAATAAAAAGTTAAATTACAAATTGATATTACGAGCTGCAGCAGGTAAGGGAGCTACCCTGGGATCAAAAATTGAAAAAATACAATTTATGATAAATATAAAATCAAACTATGACCACGGTAGGTGCCTTGACTAGTGCAAAAAACCAACTTCAAGGTCTGACACTGGATACCATGAATAATGCCTGCAAATTCTTCCTAAAAGGTGCCAAAATATTTAAAGAGGTAGTAAACACTCTAGTCCAAACTTTTTTGAGCCATGGCACACCTTAGAGGTAAGCCATTATCAAAGTCGGACACAGCATGCAGCTCGCGTCATTTACAAATAATTTCTTCGGCACACCAGTGTGCCGCAGCACATAGTTTGGACAACACTACTCTAAGTATATCACCGGTTGATACTTACATTGGAATAAAATTTCCCTACAGTACTTTTAAGCCATATATGCACGCAAATAAGTCCAGTAACTATTACACTAAGAATGGATGTAAACAATAGCTGAAATATGCTGATAGGAAAGAACTCCATTTGGATATATTGCACAATTTGTTGCTTTTATTTCACTTAATTAAATTTATTTTTGACAACAGTCGCAATCCACGACTTTAAAGCAGTCTAATAATCAGCAATAAATATTATGCAATAAAACTTTCGCTTCTTTCAAACTTTAAACTTATTTTTAAGGTACGAAGAAATATCAAAAAGGTGAACTTAAAACTTGTGTGTGAGTACCTGAAGTTCGAAAGCACAACTGAATTTGAAAATAAATTTGAGAGTACTGAGAGATGCTACATCTAATCGAAGAAGTAATGGACACATGAAATAATGATCACACTAATACAGATTCAAACTTCTCTTGCTCATTTGAACTAACTGGAAATTGAGATTATACCTTTTCTTATTTTTGATATGTTTGTGATTTTTATTCAAGAATGTGTGGATCTTATTTATAAGTTTCATACCATGAAATGTTTATAGTTCTAATCTTTTCTTTTTTTGCATCTTCGACTGACAATGAAATTAATTTTTGAATCTTGACTAGTTTTCAAGTGCTTGTTAAGGCACATAGACTTTGATGTTTGATTCTAGGGAAGGTTGCCTTGTGTAACTCTAGAAACTTGAACTTGATCAATTTGATCGATAATTAAAAAAAATCAGTTTGATCAGTTCTGATGTTTGATAATTTTTTGATGTTTTTGATAAGTTTTGCATCCTTGGTAAGAGCAACAACCTCAAAAGTTTGCAAAATCTTGTTAAATATAATGATTAAATCTGCAACAGAATCGCTTTATTGATAGAAAGTAACATTTTATTAGCTTTTAATGTTTTAACATTTATGTTTCTGGTTCCTTAAAATACTTTAAAATTAAACATTCAAATACCATGAATAATCGATTCTATCGTCGATAAGGATCGAGTGCCTCCAATTTTATGAGCACATCGCCAGGCTGGAACTCTTTCACATTATTTTTAAATTTTTGGATCACTTGGTTCCAACTTAACAAATTCCAAACTTTTTTCCCAACACATTTTTGCCTTCTCTGGATCAGATACATAAGGTTTTAAGGAGCTGGTTGCATCTTGACAGTCCATGAAATATTTTCCAGACGTGGTTTTTACTTCATCGGAAGTTGCGAGATAAATTGAAGTTTTGGCACCTTCAGCTGGAGTTTTAAAGAAATATCTTACGAGGGAGAATGGAATTCTTACTGGCAATGGCATATGCCTCCAAATTGCACTGTCCACAATACCTATAAAAGAAAGTATTAATTAACTGTTATTTTGTTTTACCTGTAAGAATGAAAATGTATTACCTGGATGAAGACAATTAACAGAAACATTAGTTCCTTCTAATCGTCTAGCCAGCTCGATTGTAAACAGAATATTAGCACCCTTTGAACTGTAATACAAGTATGTTGGCCACGTATCAACTGGATTCATATTATCAAGATTCACATTTGCAAGTTTATATAGATCAGAAGCAACAATAACGATTCTTGATGGAGCTGATTTTTTCAGTATATCAATAAGTAAATGAGTAAGAAGAAATGGTCCATAGTAATTTATTGCGTACGTAATCTCAATTCCATCAACACTCTTATGTTTCTGAAATGCCCCACCATATCCAGCATTATGTATTAAAACGTCAAGTCGTTCTTCTTTTGAAAGGAACTCTTTTGCAAAATCTCGAATTGATTGGAAGGAACTCAAGTCAATCTTCATTACAACAATATTTTCATTTTTTGTATCTTGAACAATCTCGTCTGAAAATTCAATTTAATTCAGCATAAATTTAAACTATGGAATTTGGAAATAAATTACCTTTAACTTGGTTCGCTGATTCTAGATTACGACAAGCTAAAATGATTCGAGAACCATCTTTTGCTAGTTCTTTTGCTGTCTCTTTACCAATTCCACTGTTGGCACCAGTTATTAAAATTGTCTTTTTTACTTCCATTTCTAATGATTTTTTTGAATCTCTACAATGTTAAAATTTTTTGTAACCTGTTATTGAATTCTAATTGTCAGAGAAAGCTGATCACACGTCTTCAACACACAAAAATATTTAACAGACTGATTTTAACATTTCCTTTGTTACCTCTGCTCATTCACAATAATATGTTTTTTTTATTACAATTTTTTACAAATCAAGTTTTTATTCACCAACACAAGTCATGCGTAACTGTTTAAACACAACTGAGAATTTTGCCGGCTGATGATTCTCACATCCCATGTGCTTTGAAGAGAGAGAGAAAATGTAAAAGAATTTTTTAAGCCTCATTAAGTGGCATTGAGAATTTCTCTTTTTATTAAGCTCTTTGAATAGATTGATCAAGTTTAGGGTTTAAGTATAATTATTGAGCTATCGTTCACAAAACGTGATGATCAAAATAAAGGAATGTCTGTCGTAAAATAAAAACTAGTTTTCTATTGACACGTGGAATTTTTACCTCATTTTAAATTTAGTAATGTTGTAATATGCAAAATTTGAAATGGGGTCGTTCACTTATGACGTCGAAATTAACGGTCATATTTCAAAAAAGAACAATGGATTTACAGGAATTTCTAATGTTCTTTTCTTGCTGACCCCCCCCCCCCCCTCCTGGACGTCATAAGTGAACGGCCCCAATACTTAAATATTTTATTTATGTCCAAAAATTTATAAAATCAAACACAGTATTTTTCTCTTTGTTTAACTTTACTTTATTATCATATCTAAATAAGAGTTACCCTAAATATAATGCAAATGTTCAAAACAAAAGACTTGCTTTAAATAAATGACCATGGAACACCAAAGTAGCGATTGACGTGCTTTTAACACTGTAGAACTCCCTATAACTGCTGTAACTAATATAAACCACGACCTCAAAAGAAGCAATCTCTGACCACTTGATCATAGATCCCTGCTAATCGGTCACCGAGGTACTTAACTCATTTCGGCTAACCATCATATACATATAACCAGTTTCAACGTGAGCCCTATCCTTAAGCCTATCTACTACAGACATACTGTTCGAGCCATATCAACAAACACCTAGTTGAAAGTTCGACACTGAAAATTAGAATAGCCATCACCAAAAAATAAGGAATTTCTTGTTCTGCTCTGATTTATAGAAAGATTTTTTCACTATTTATTATTATCATGTTACAAATATACTCAATTAAAACTAGCAATGATGTGATTCATTCTTCTTTTGTATGATTGATGATAGTCTCTCTATTAAGCTGTTGCAAGTGACTCTGAAATAGATTAAAAGAATAATCGTAAATGAGATTCGTCAAAATAAAAATTATCGCTGTTAAATGGACATCAACAGACCCCCAAAAGTCAAACATCATTTATGAATGACTCCCTTGAGACTTTCAATTAAGTTCTTACCTCATCTTGTCGATTTTTGTCGCCCATTACTTTCATGTAAAGAGCTATCGTTCCAATTAAAAGAAAAACTCCAAAAACAAGTGTGACCAAAATGGAGAATGCCTCCGAGTTGTCATCAATTCCAAGGATTTTAACCATTTTGAGTGCTGCGAAAGTTTAGGAAGAATTTAATTGATAAAAAATAAGTTTCTTTGTTATTTATGCAGAATCGGTTTCTCTTTTCTTTTCATTATACAATCAGCCTTAACGTGCCTTAACATTCAATTTAAAAAGATGCATTTCAGAAATATCAAAAATTATGTAACTCTTGCATCTTGCATTTTTGTGGTCCATAAAATAAGCATGATGCAATGATCATTTCCGTCAGTATGATTATTTATATTTTTTAAGTTAAGTCACGAATTTCGTCAGATAAATGATTGGCTGAATTGGGCATATCCAAAAATTTTTCGAGATGTGCTGGATTATTTTTTATACATATATAAGGAAAAATTTTGGGGGGCGGAGGATATTTTTATATCCAAAAACTTTAGCAAATTGAACAAACTTGACAAAACAGAAAGTGACCCCAAATTTCCTTGGATATGCCCCGATTACTAATATCAAGTTTGTTGTTGTTGAATTAAAGTTGCAAACTCATCCGTAAGATTTATGTCCCAAATTTATTTTCTTTCAAATCGTCTTCATCTAAGGGGACGGAACTGATTAAACGACTTTTGATCATACTTTGTCCACAAAGTTTTTTTTAAAAGAAATTTGAGTTATCATGTCAGAAAGTGCTTACATTGCCTGAATTTTATGATCAGTTTTGCACCCTTTAACGGATGCTTAATAATTTATTCTTTATTATAAAACTGCATATATTTTTTAATTTATTTGTTTATTTGGTTAAATATCAAATCTCAAAGAATTTCATTTCAACGTGTCAATTTAAATTGCTAAGTTTAGGTTTGATTGTTGATTGTCTTTTGATGCCTTACGAAACATTTAACACATTTTAAACAAAAGAAATTATAAATTTTAAAATCTGAAAGACTTCAATTCTGTGGATGAAGTGTGAAGCAGCACAATTTTAAACTTAGACACTGCTGCACATAAGGTGCGTATTTGGGTGACAAATCTCCCTGCGAACGAAAAAATTAAATAAAAACCCTAGCAAAATGAAGAAATTGTCCACTGCAATGAAGAAATCGTCCTCTCCACTATGGGGCAAAATTGAAAAAAAGGGGTAATTCACTTCGAAAATAGGACTCTTTCAATTTAGGTTCTCGGGGTATTTTTTTCTTGTAGAGGACATTAAATTAGACTTGCATGCCAAATTTCAGACCATTTTGTGCTGTTTTTGAGATTCTAGAGCTATTTGAAGTTGAAAATGAGCAAAAAAACTGGTTTTTTCATGACATATTTAAACTTAAAAATCTCTGCAATGTTTAAAGTTATTGAAAAATTGTTTTCGGTTCCTATAAGAACAATATAAGAGCTTTATTTTAATGTATTGTAAAATTTTTAACTTTCCAGTTTTGGTGCTGGTATGGTTGGAAATGTACGAAAATCCTATGAAAAATATCTATAAACGTGCCGCAACTATCTTAGCAGGTCGATTTCCAGGTAACTGAATATACAGAAATATAGCTCTTGATATACAGTTTGTAAAACTGTATAAACATTAGAAATAACAAAGTACGTTTTTGAGAAAAATTGGTTTGTGTAAGTCGTGAAATATTAAGCCAAAAACTGATTTTTCTCTTAAAAATAACAAATCATTCATAGTAGAAAAGTTTGGTAATGTTTTCTAATTGCAAATAATATTTAAAGACAACCTGCAAAGATTTTTTTTCGAAAAACTCAAAATTTGACGAGATATCGGGTAAATTTGATATCTGATGACTTGTATGTTTTTTGCACCACTCAAATGACTCTAACTTTTGTTTAACTTAATATTTTTCAGTTCTGTTTCCTGTTTATTGTAGCTTAAGTCAATACCTTTCTAACAATATATAATACTTGATAGTTGCATATGACATTGATCTTAATTATTGGCATTGTTTGTGAATGACCCCAAACTAAGAAAAATCTTGAAAACAACATTTCTAGAAATACCACTTAGAAAGAAAATTGTATATTGTTTTGAGGTTTTTTATGATGATTTATGATAATTATGACTGTTAAAACTCAAAAACATGGAATTCATAAACTTTTTGCGATCTCAGGTAGCCTGATTAGGTACGACCCTAGTAGTATCTATTGGACCAGAAAGTCTCTAGTATCAGACTATTTTAAAAACTCAAATTAATGAATTCATCATATTTAAGCATATTTATAGCAAAATATTTCATTTTTAGATACTTTTGGTTGAAAAATTGTGAATTTTGGCTATTTTGTTTAAGTTCAGCTTGCGTCGGTCACATTCAATCCACTCTAGTTGCAACTATAATGAAGTTTTATACCAGTATTATACATTATCTTAAAGGTACTGATCTAAACTAGCAATAATTGAAAACAGAATGCAAAAATATGTATCCTGAAAAAAGTTAGAGCTCTTTATGTACAAAAAAAAGCATACAAAAACGCAACCATCATAGGTAAAAATACAAAAATTGAAAATTTATCAGTTTTTTTTGACAAGCTTTGATTTTTTTGTAATAATAACCACATATAAACACATTTTCAATACTTTTTTGTAAGATTTTCGTTGAAATTTTAAATTTTTGTATTTTTACCTATGATGGTTGCGTTTTTGTATGCTTTTTTATGTACATAAAGAGCTCTAACTTTTTTCAGGATACATATTTTTGCATTCTGTTTTCAATTATTGCTAGTTTAGATCAGTACCTTTAAGATAATGTATAATACTGGTATAAAACTTCATTATAGTTGCAACTAGAGTGGATTGAATGTGACCGACGCAAGCTGAACTTAAACAAAATAGCCAAAATTCACAATTTTTCAACCAAAAGTATCTAAAAATGAAATATTTTGCTATAAATATGCTTAAATATGATGAATTCATTAATTTGAGTTTTTAAAATAGTCTGATACTAGAGACTTTCTGGTCCAATAGATACTACTAGGGTCGTACCTAATCAGGCTACCTGAGATCGCAAAAAGTTTATGAATTCCATGTTTTTGAGTTTTAACAGTCATAATTATCATAAATCATCATAAAAAACCTCAAAACAATATACAATTTTCTTTCTAATTGGTATTTCTAGAAATGTTGTTTTCAAGATTTTTCTTAGTTTGGGGTCATTCACAAACAATGCCAATAATCAAGATCAATGTCATATGCAACTATCAAGTATTATATATTGTTAGAAAGGTATTGACTTAAGCTACAATAAACAGGAAACAGAACTGAAAAATATTAAGTTAAACAAAAGTTAGAGTCATTTGAGTGGTGCAAAAAACATACAAGTCATCAGATATCAAATTTACCCGATATCTCGTCAAATTTTGAGTTTTTCGAAAAAAAATCTTTGCAGGTTGTCTTTAAATATTATTTGCAATTAGAAAACATTACCAAACTTTTCTACTATGAATGATTTGTTATTTTTAAGAGAAAAATCAGTTTTTGGCTTAATATTTCACGACTTACACAAACCAATTTTTCTCAAAAACGTACTTTGTTATTTCTAATGTTTATACAGTTTTACAAACTGTATATCAAGAGCTATATTTCTGTATATTCAGTTACCTGGAAATCGACCTGCTAAGATAGTTGCGGCACGTTTATAGATATTTTTCATAGGATTTTCGTACATTTCCAACCATACCAGCACCAAAACTGGAAAGTTAAAAATTTTACAATACATTAAAATAAAGCTCTTATATTGTTCTTATAGGAACCGAAAACAATTTTTCAATAACTTTAAACATTGCAGAGATTTTTAAGTTTAAATATGTCATGAAAAAACCAGTTTTTTTGCTCATTTTCAACTTCAAATAGCTCTAGAATCTCAAAAACAGCACAAAATGGTCTGAAATTTGGCATGCAAGTCTAATTTAATGTCCTCTACAAGAAAAAAATACCCCGAGAACCTAAATTGAAAGAGTCCTATTTTCGAAGTGAATTACCCCTTTTTTTCAATTTTGCCCCATAGTGCTCTCTCCTCCTTCAAATTCTAGGCTACGCCCCTGCTGCACATTAATAACATTTTTTTCTGTCATATTTTAAATTAATTATTCAAATTTATGTCTGGTTCAAAAGGTTCAATTTTAGAATTCCAATCTAAAATTTTTTGAGTTTATGAAATTTTTATTTTAACTTAATGCCTAATTTTCAAGCTTCACAACTTCACAGTGCATTGATAACTCTTCCCAACCCTTCTTTGTTTTTTAATTAATTTAAATCACCTCAATATATTTTTTTTAAATCAGCCACAAGACTATATTTATATTTCACTTCTTTCCACCGTGATATCTCAAAGTAGACTAAAGAGGAGTGTCACCCAAAACAAAGCAAAACTGCCAAAAAAATAAAATTCGCTTTCATTCGAGTTTTTCATTTTACACCAAAATAAATTTATACAAAATATTTTATGATCAACTGGTTTACTATATCTCATCTTTGATGTAATATATAACGTGGACTGTAAAGCACTACCTTTTTTGTCACTGAAGAAATAATATATCAAATAACCTTGTGGAACTTGTTCTTATTGATACTGAAGGAATGGGATCTTTAAAGTTGATCATACATGATTATTAAGGTATCCTTTAATTGAATTTTATTACATTGAACTGAATTGTGAAACTTAATTGAATAAAATGTTGTAACGCTTTTGAAAAATTCAAACGGTGCTATACAAGATTTTCACTTCCAATGAGTTTTAAATCATATTTCAATTTACCTCAAATTTTGATAAATTTTTTCAAATTCAACGATTTTTTAAAAAGTTGGTAAAAATTTGCAAAGGATTAAAAAGGCTTAAAAAAATTAAAATATAAAATTAGGGGTCGTTCACTTATGACGTCATTTTTCAAAAAAGAACAATGAATTTCCAAGAATTTCTTTTGTTCTTTTCTCGCTGAACCCCCCCCCCCCCTGGACGTCTTAAGTGAACGGCCCCTTAACAAAATTTATTTAAAAATTGAACAAAAAACCCGAATCAGTTAAAAAAATTCAAAATTCCAACAGACTTTTTGCGGTTCGCATGGAAATCATATCAGTTTAAAAATTGTTTCCTAAGAGTCTACACGTGAAAAATTACTTTAACGTATTTGAGCAGTTTCTATCCTTCAAAGTAGCATTATTTAATAAATTCTCAATCTAAACTCATCTTCATCTAATTAAAATGATGAAGTAAGTCACAATAAGGTAATAAAAGTGACAAAATCATAGAAAAAATAATATTTAAGCGACTAATTATGATTCAGTCGGCAAAAAAAGTAATTCCATATCTTATCTTATCGTCGCTGGGAATTATAAATTTGAAAGCTTCTCTTCTTACCTATTGTCATAGGTCGATATTACTCAATTTGTTGTTTACTTAGAGGCTTTTTTGGTATTTACAGATATTTTACTTATCACACGCGATAAAAATGACTCCACAACTTCTCGGTCGCTTACTAAAGATAGAAAAACGATTTGCCGATTTGGAAAATCATCCATCAAAACCTTTAACGAATTATTCGATAGAAAACAGCAACATTTCAATTAAATATCTCAAAAATATCTTTCTTATTTTCTACGAAATTGGAATATTTGGTGAGAGTGAGGCTGCAAAAAATCCACCTGAAAATATTCGCACAAAAGTGCTGCAATCAAGAAGTAACATTATTGAATTTATCACGAAGCACATTGACTGGTTTGCAAACTTTATACCAGCATACGCGAGGAAAGAAATTGATTTTACTGATTTGTCATCAAAAGAGGCTGTTTATAGAGTCCGATCAGGTATCGCATTCCTATTAAACGAATTTCAAGAAATCAGCACAGAATTTGATACAACTTTAGAGGAACTGAGAGAATTGAGCTCAGTTGACGACGAATTTGATTCCATTTTAAATCATTGGATTGAATCTGGTCTTCATTATCCATTAAAGGAAGTTGACATTCCAAAGAATTTACCTAAAACTCACTGGTGGTGGAACAAAGCCTTATTCAATTAAAATATGGAGATCGACAAGGAGAAGTGGATTACTGTTGCTCATGAAAATATAGCACGTTATATGGATAGAGGTGGAGATGATCAAGGTGATATTCCTGAACTTCTTGAAGGAACTCAACTTCTTAATACTATTGGAATTGCTTTAAATGTTAACTTTAGTGATCCATCAAGTTGGACTGAGGAAGAATTGGAAGAAGCAGAAGATGGACATTTGTGCTTTTTTAAAGATGATTCAAGGAAGGCAATTGACATAATTGTTGAAAAAATAATAGAAGAATGTAGAGGAAATGAACGGAACTACATAACTGTCTTGCCAATTCAACTATATTCTGAAGGCAGGCTTTACTCTCTTGCCTTGTTTCGATTTAAAGCTCGTGTTGAGAAGAGATGGAAATTTGTTGATAATGTCGGTAGAGTTTATAAAACTTTTGAGGATTGGAAAGAGAACAATGTATTGCCACCGGGTAAAGTTCTTTATCCTCTTGATGGACATCTGCAAAAGAATAGCAACGGTTTTGTACAGACAAGATGTAAAAGTACACCTTTTGGATCTAACACATCAAAATTTATGAAAACTGCTGACATAGGCACGGGAATAATTGGAATTGCTGGTGCTGTCGGAACTTTATTTTTATCAGGCGGTTTGGCACTTCCATTTGTTCTTGCTGGTGTTGGAAGTGCTGTTTACACAACAGCAAGATCAGGTTATCATCTTGTTGATAGAGCACTCCATGGACAGTCATTAAGTCCTCTTGAAAGCCACGAGACATTTAGTTTATGGCTTGGAATTTCAGCAAATGTTATATCATTTGGATCCATGGGTGCAACTGTTCGTCTTTCGTCCTTAGCATTTCAGGGAAAAAATATTTCACAAGGTTTTAAGCTCCTAGTCAACGTGATTAATGGGACGAGCTTAACAGTAAATTCCGTTGCCGTCGCAAATTCTCTCGCTTACATGGCAATTCATTTTGATGAAATGACGCCAGTTGATGTGTTAATGCAAGTAGCTAGCGTAGCATTTTGGGCTAAATCAGTATTTTCTTACAAGCCAGCTGCAAAGATGGTGAGAGAGATTCACAATCAAGTATTAAATGGGTATTCAACTGCTCTTGGAAAGACTGGGGCAGATGATTTTAATAAATTTCGTCAAAAGTTTAATAATGATAAGCAGCTTGTGAAATTCTATTTTCGTTATTTGAAGCAAGGTAAGCATGACTAGATATTTATGGATTAATATAATAAAATACAAATTTTTCTTAGGACTCGATCCGGCACAAGTGTCTGATGTTTTAGTAGAAATCTATCAAATGGGTGCAGCTGCGAAATTTTTCTCGGTAGATGCAGGACAAATGAGTATATGCATTAATGGTAAGCAACATTCTTGATTTATTGCTTAATTTATTTAAACTTCTAATGATATTAGGACACACATTCACTATGGAATTTCTAATGTGCATCAAGTCATGGCATCGTCAAATTGTCTTTACGATTCTTGCATCTCTAAAGGATGAAGAAACTGAAGTTTTTAATAAGCTTAGAAGTCAAATCCAAGATGATGTTGCACTTTTTTATTTAATTTGTGATGTGAGTAAGGAATACAATCTAAAAGCAGAGGATACGACACGGGGACTTGTTAAATTTTATATGTCAATCGAAGAACTTAATCTAAAGCACAAAAATCCACTTACAATTAAAATCAATAAAGATGGCTCAATTACACTTGGAAATGGACATACCTTCATTCTTGATGAAATTGTGAAATTTTCCAATAATGATGACATACTTGATGTCATCAACAAACTTTTGGTACTTAATCGTGAAGATGCTATAAGATTTAATCATATTCGATTAGTCTTTGATGATGACTATGACTTATTCAAATGGATTGCTGATGGAGAAAAGATGAATGTCGGAAATGTTATTGAAGCATTATTAGAATTGAAGTCTAATGAGTTGGAAGATCTTGATGTCTTTAATCTAGCTACATTAGAGAAAAACTCAAGCGATAAATGTGGAATTTTGATAATCAATAATATAAAGATGAGTGTCTTCTTCCTTGCTCAAATGGAACCGAAATTACTGAACGAGACCATTTTAATGGCACGGTACGTCGAAGAAGATGAAGACATTTTGAAAGGATTTCATGAAAGAGTCGGTTATTACAGAATCACAAGTGAATTCGATCGCAAAAAGGCAAGAGAATGGTTTGAGATGCTTACAAAAAAATCTTCTCGATTAACAGCAAGATATGGTCAGTATCGTCCTCATGAATTATCACATCTTCATCGCATGAAATCAATTTTATATCGTTATGGAAATGATATGCAACAAGCTATTATTGATTTTGTATTCACTCTCAACCCTAAGAATGTTCTTGAATTTTTAAACTGCTGTCATTTCATATTCACATGGACGAGTAATACTATGGAGAAATATTCTGTTGAACTGTATAGGAATGACAAGACTAGAAAAGAAACAACTATTAGAGCATGGAGAGGTAAGGTTTTGGAAATCTTATTATTTTATATGAATCAGGGGCTGGTTTCTATGGATACTGGTAGACCCTACTCTAAAATCATATACCCTAGTGTTGAAATATGACTTGGTTTATTTAGTCAATAGATTGATGATTCGAGGGTAGAGTACCACGAGTAGCCCTTAAAACAATTCCCAGATTAATTTACATCACTTTCCACTAATTTTTTTTACAGAGCAAAAAACCCTCAACGAGTTTAGATCCAACATCAGATCCATTAGACTAGATTTTGCAAAGCTCAAAATCATTTCCACTCGAAACAGAATGTTTGATGAAAAGCCATTAGTTGTTGAACAAAATCTCTCGGATAAAGACTTGGTAAATGCAATCATATCCAAACTAAAGAGCAATGAGTCGATAAAATTCAGATCAGACACAAGAGCAATCGCACAAATGTACAAGCGTTCAAAGTTTGAGATGAGGAAATTTGTTGAACGAGCTAATGCTGTTATAAAATATGAAATGCCAAGAGCAAAGGCGACTGTATGGCGAGGACAAGAAGGAGTTGCACGATTCGTTGAGTTTGTTGATAGCACTGGTAAAGTGGAGCTTATTGAGAAATTTGGTGAATTGTATTTGAATTTCTTTATAGAATATGACAATAGATAGGATCAAGCACATTTGCATGATTTATTTTGTAAAGTAATCACATTATTTTTGTAGATAAAATCAAGCATGAAAAATTATCAAAAATGAACATTCTATATAAACCCAAACATTCAATCCTTTCATTACAGTTTGATACTTAAAGTCTTGAATAATGTTGAAAATCATAATAAGTCTAGCTATCATTAAATCCTCATTAGCACAAAATTATTTTTCTTCAGCAAAACATCTCAATACAATCAGTGACTGCAGCATGCACATTAATCTAATTCTAAATATCAATGCATACTTCTTCGAGGACCAATTTTCACTTACCATTATTGATTCATCCGAAGATCCGACTATCAGTGCACTTAAATGCATCGGAGGAAATGACTTTCGACCGTTGAGTATATTTGATGACGTTCTTCAAATTGATTTAGGTGATGAAACTGACACGAGCAGCGTCTCATCGTATCCGACGACAAGTGGAATGTTTGTCAAGTCAGGATATGATGATGCACTTGGAATCTTGAGAATAATTGGAGGACACAATCCTAGATCAAAAGTGTTATTGTATGTGACTGATGGAAATGAAACTGATTCCATGGACTTGCTGAAAACTGCATATGAGGATTTGAAAATGTTAAATCTAGCAGTTTTAATGATTAACTTAGAAAAGGATGAGGATGATGTAACGATTCGAGGACTTGTAAGAATAATATTTTTCAATCCATTTAGTGGTGATAAGGAAATAAGAGAACCTGAATATTTAAGGCTAACACTCACTCCTTTTAATCTGGATGGGAAATTTAAAGTAATAACGAAATTCATCCACGAGCGAGTCTCAAATTTACATCAATTTCCATTGCGTGTTAATATTTTTGATTTTCCAATGATATCCAAACGTGAAGCAGACGAAAGTGATGAAACTATGTATTATTCATATTCGGATGGAGAGACAATTAGAATAATTGGGGAAAAATTGAATTTCAATATAATTTATGAGGATTCATCGGATGGCATACAGTATGGATTTCAAAATGATGAAGGTAATTTTACAGGAAGCTTAGGAGCACTTGAATATGATCAAGTAGATTTACTTGGAAATCCACGATTGATAGCTGATTATAATACAACAAAGTCGTTATTTTTACAACCAATTACGATGATGAGGCTCTCATTTATCATCAAGAAACGTCCAACTTACAAACTTCTTAGTGTCTTTATTTATAGTGGATATGACAAAATTTCAATGATCTTAGGTATTAGTGTCTCTGTATCCTTACCATTCGTCTATGTTTTCATAAATAAAAATGAGGTGAAAATCATCAACAGGAATGTTTCAAAGAAAAAGAGATTGACATCATCATCCTTCATAAAGTCTAGCTTATATATCATAGCTTTAGTTCATGGAATTTCTATGAGCCACTCAAAAGGAAATGCATCTCGGATAGTTGTTGGAATAACTCTACTTTATACACTTATAGTGTCTTCATTATATCAGTCAGCTCAAACTAAAAACCTCAACACCAATAAGGTAAGACTGAATTTGGGGGCGTAGTCAGCAGTTTTACAATGATAAGGGACGACTTTAGATATGTGTTTATCTCCCAATAGCTGCTGTATGTGTTAAGTAATGTAAAACCAGTAGAATTCGATGAGAATCGAACTTCCGACCTTAAAAGAGGCGATATTTGACCACTCGATTAGAGATCCCTGCCACTCGGCTACTGAGGTGCTTATCGCATTTCGGCTATCCTTCATACACGTCCAACCAGTTTCACAGTGAGCCCTATGCTCTGGCCTGTTCACTACAGATATGATCTTCGAGATACATCTACCCTTATAAAGATTATAAAGATAAAGGAGATTGATGACAGATAATTTTTATGAAAATGTTCTCCCTTCATGTTGTTTTCCCCCTGGCTACGCCTTTGTACAACTCCAAAAAATACCTATAAATCATTCACAAATTTATTTACAATTAAAACAATTTAATTCACTAGGTTTACGGTAAAATTACGACTATCGATGGTTTGATCACTGAAAATTTTGAAATAGGAATGCCGCCGGATATAACAACAATTTTTCGCAATAAAAATAGCAAAAATAAAGTAACCACATTGATTGAAAATTCCGGATTGTCGTTCGAGGATATAAAATTATCTCATGAATATTTTGCCGAGCAGCTAATGAATAATGCAAAATTTGCATATCTGTGGTCGGATTTGTATGTCGATAATTATTTAAATCAATTCTATGATCCAAACACGGGCGAGAATCTATTGGAAAACATTCCTGAAATTGCGTACGAGTTTTACATTTCTCTAATGGCACCGAAAAATTCACCATTTATTGAAAAATTTAATGAAATTCTTTTACAATATGTAGAGACAGGCATCGTTGATTATCATTCAAATCGTGCATTGGCTGATAATGATATGATTTGGATACAGCGAGTGCTTAAAGGAGAAATACCAGAAAATGCAGCTCAGGCTATAAAAATGAGTGAATTGATGCCTTTATTTGAAATTTATATTTATTTAGTGATAGCTAGTTCAATAGTGTTTGTGCTTGAAATCCTTTGGCAACCAAGAAAATTTTTGAAAATATTAAGAAAGCGACCAAATAGTGTCAAGTATTTTGAGTTTGTAAACTAGATGCATAATGTGAAGCATCCACTTTCCATGCAATTTTGTAAGCTGTTTATTGTTTTAAGAGCACTACAATATTAAGTTTTCTACATCTGAAAACTTCAAAATGAGCACGTAGCTTTACATTTAATTTCTGTTGAAGTTCATTCAATTTTCTTGTTTTGGCAAATAAATGATTGTTGGCAAATGGATGTATTATTGAAGCTTGTGCGCGTATTTGAACTCAAAAACAGTCATGCATTTGAAAATATTGAATTAAAAAGATTAAAGCTAATGCTGAAACTTTGTAAGTCTTTTAAGTTGGCATCTACCAGGGGGGAAACACCTTTTTTTTACTTTGTTCTATCTATTGAATAATGTGGACACTGGCCTCAAATTGCTACTTTTTAAAACCAAAATGTTTCACACAAAATTGTCATCCTCCCTGCATCTACCCTTTAATTTAGCGTAACGTTCCTCTTTAATAAAAGCTTTAATCAAGCTTAATGCTTTTAAAACATATTCGACAGCTACAATTTTTTTGGAGTTTTGTATCAAAAACTATTTAATTTTTTATGTATCTTAAGAGCTAGACTACAGCTTAATCGTTGACAAAACTCCATCATTGCATCTTACATTCGATCAAACTCAACGTTATGCTTGACTTCGTGTAAAATTTATTTTTTAACTCCGTTATTGTCTTCATGTACGCTATTATTGAAGCAATTTAGAATAAAAACCCTTCTTGACATTTTTTTGTGTGATCAAAGCATTTTTCTCAACCTTAATCACAGTCTAGAAATGTCAGCAATATCGCAAGAAATTTCATGTAAACTTTTGAATAAGTCAGGAGTCAAGAGGGAATGGTGCTTTATATGTATGTGCGTAGAGAAATGTCATTGTTAATTTACGCACCTTTCAACATTCAGCAGGAAAAAATAAGAGGAAATAAAAAATAAAAAACTGAGCATCAGAAAAGGTAGTGAATTCCAAAATACTTCCATCATATTACATTACAGCATACGGAAAAGGGTCCGGAAATACTTCATTTAAATTTGTTTTCTAGGATGAAAGTTGATTGTAATGTAGACATATTTCATGCTTATTAAATATTAAAAGACTTTTTTCTTTCTGTCCCATCTATAAAGTTTAATTCAACTGAAATATTTAAGGTTGGAAAAGTGTCACAAAGAATTTGTCAAGTTAAGAAACTTAGAATTCAAAGATGAATCGTTGCTGGATTTATTTTATAAGATTGTAAGCTTAAAGTTTTGTTGAGCACATAATCTTTTTTGTTTATGGTAAGAGAATAAGGAGCTGTTTACATATTAAGTTACGTTAAGAACTATTTTTTAGACACCTCCTTCTTCCATGGTACTTGTCAGTGGCTCTTAAATTTGTCACATTGAAATACTTATCCATTCTCGACTGGTTGTGCTTTAGCAAACATTTTGCAATAGAATTGAAGGTATTGGTGGCACATTTAGAAATTGAAACAACTTCCCTTCCCCCCACCCTCCACTCACGAATCGGCATGGCCTAGGGAAATCAATAGTAAAGCTGGATTATTTTTAATATTTCTGAATTAAACAACTAGCAATATCAGTTATGATAATCATCTGGGGAGCAATTCATCTTCTTTCCGCTGAAAACCTGTATTAATGCAAGGTGAACTGATTTTCACAGTTTTTTTTTTCTTGTTTTCATCCATATGATTTATATTCATGTATTTCTTCCACTTTCACAAAGGTGCACATTCTTGAAATGTGATTTATGATATCTTATTTTGCCTATTGTTGCTCTCTTAACAATATTTTTTTCTTGTTTTGAGAATGGCATCTTTTGTAATGCCTTAACAAAAAACGATTCAGCATAGTGACAATTTTTATTAGGTAAAAATATTTTGTATATTTTTATTTATTTACCCAAGCACCAAATGTTACAAGCCCATCTGGTGATGCTTTCCTTTTCCTTTCAAAATCTATTTTTATCATAATCACAATTTATTTCATTTTCCATACCCTCATCTCTCTGAGGGCAGCGCGCAATCCACATCCTGTCATGACGACGACAAAACAAAAATGAATAAAGAAGAAAGAGACAATAGACGAAACATGATGAATAATCTCAACTAATGCGAGTCCCAAATGGCTTTAGTTGCTGTCAGATTTGCAATTTTTTTCATTTTATTTCCTATTGTAATTATCGTCTCCATGACAGTAAATACACTAAAGCTATATGAAGCTAGGTACCTTGATGTCTCTGCGTGCACAATACATAATTTAATAATTTTAATGCTCTTCTTAAGAATCTCTAAGGATACAGCTCAGCTTCATCAAGTCACATTTCTTTTATGAAACTTTCTACCCTCGTCGATTCACATTCTTGCTATTCTCTTTAATATGAAGAATGTGTTTTCATGTAGTAGGTGGATTTGACTCTTAATCATACCATTTGACATATTTCGGAAATGACGAATGTTTCTTGGAAAGGACTTAGTATGTTGGCGAAATTGACATTGCTTTTCATGGTTGCTGTCGTTGGGATAGTAAAATGTTTTGTGGCAATTTAAGGGGGTTCAATAGATTCTATCATCGATCAGGATCGCAGTGCCTCCAGCTCGTCGCAATGTGTAGTAACACATCGCTTGGCTGGATCCCTATCACATTATTATTAAGGGGATTCGGGGGGAGGCTGTCCTGGGTAGCCCTAAGAACCAAACCCTAAAGCCAAATTTCTTGATGAAAGCTATTTATAAACTTACTTCATGATAGCTATCGAATTAGAAATGTTATAAAAGATTGAAAAGTAAGTACTCCTTCATAGTCTCCATCATTCTTGTCATAATAATCTTATTCTCAACATTTCTTGACTAGCTTCTTGGCTTCTTTGAATTTTCCTCATTAATTTAATTTGATTGATGCTGGTATGGCTATGCTTTGGAAAGGAAAAAATATTGAAGATGATGAAAAATTCTTGAAACTACACCTTATAAAGACTTTTTAAAAGTCCGTGCTTGATGTTTAAATATCAATTGCAATTAAAGAAAGATCCTGCACACGAACATAAACAGAAAAGTCATTAGGAACTCAAATTAATTGCTTTAATAAGTTTTTCACACGATTCCCGAAACAATCAAAACGAGAATCATTGATTGTAGGAAAAAAAGTTATAGCACAAGATCAAAAAGCAATTAGTCAAAAAGAAAAGTTTTAATTTCACGCTTTCTATGCTATTTTTGAAGACAATTCTTATTGAGTTAATGACAAAACTTAATTAGAGTGTCAATGAAGCTGAAAAAGATACAGAAAATGTCAAATGATGTAACGCCTACGTGCTGTTATCAAGAAAGTTTAGTTTCAGTAATTGTGGTTGATTGGCTGATAATTATTTGTGTCTATTAGCAAAGTAGCGAGACGCAGGGTTGCGATACAGGCACCTAGGCACAGGTGAGAACCATTCATCTCATTGATAATTTATAAGGTTTTTCCAACAAAATCATACAAATTCTAATAAAACCTCACAAATTATCAAGGAATTTTTCAATTGTCCACATGTGCCTGTATTGCAATCCTGCCGAGAAGAATTACTTAAAAAATGATAAAATTTCGGTTTCTTCACTGGATCAACTACCAAAAAACATTTTAAAAAAAATGTTGGAATCAATCAGACGTTGCTTTCAAGGTTAACTTTTAATATAAGTCATTTTATCAAGCAAGTTCTTTACTTCAATTTTTTGCCATCCTTTAACTTGATTGGCATTTTTGTGCTTATATCTTTCACATTATATCTTCGTTTCTTTATTTATTTTATTGTTAAATCTCCATCTTAATATATAAGAAAGTGACATTCTCAAAATTTTCTTACAGATGGAGAAATTCCTGATCACTTCTCAAGTTTTCCGTACTCAATAAGTAGTTGAAAAATATTTCCATAGATATTTCCGGCATAGAATTTTATGAAGAAAAAAAGTTTTATCACTTCGAATGTCCTTTTTATCATCTTGGTTAAATTTTTTCCTCCTTTTCTCATTTTGCCATGATTTTATGTTATGGCCCAATAAAGTAAACACTTTTGATGACTGGGTCGGCAGTAATTTAATATTCTTATCATTTTTGATGAATAATTGAGCATATTATTGAGAATTTTATCTTTAACACGATTTAATGAGCGCTGTTGACAAGTCGATGGCTCTTCTTATTATGTGCCTCTTTCAACTCCCGGAAGACACAAGCTTCTATTTGACAGCCACATGCAAGTTGAAGTTCATAAGGATCAAGGGGATAGCAACATGATGGGAAAAATTCATTTAAAAAGAATTTTGAAGTTGGGTGGTTTCACCTTGTTGGATGCATGCCTTCCCCAGCTTTGTGTCGCTCGGGACAGAAAACAAAGAAGAAAGGAAAAGAAATTCTCAACACACATTAATGACATTCTTTCCTTCCTTCTATTCCAACTCATCTTCCTGTCTATTTTGAATTTTGTTGCCTTCAATTTTTCCTTTTCATTCGTTAAATTCCTTTTTTGCCTTTCCACACATACAGTTAAGTCTTGTTAAGTGAAAATGTATGAGAATGTTGGGAAATTTATGGATGGAATTTTTTGTATCCAGGGGGTTGTCAGTACGCTTGATTTTCAGGAGTCTAAGCATGGTAATAGCCAGGATTGAGAATTCAGGTCCACAAATAACAACAGGTTCATAACTTAAATCTAGTAAAAACTCCCTAGTTTTAAGATGAAGGTACCGGGTTCTTCAAAAATTGTTGTCATGTCCCGTAATACTTGAAAGGCCCCACAGTGTGATGCTTATCAACATAAAGACTTTTAAAGATTCTCATTTTAGATTCACATGGCAATTCGTAGGTCTATAATCGTGATGACGATGCAATAAAAAAATTCTTAGCTTGTGGTTTTTTTTTTGTGGAAAGGAAGTTCAAGAAGAAAAAAAATGGTCGTTTATGAAGCTCAAACATTGTCATTGTATGAGAATAGAATTATGATTAAAGCTCGATGAAGGTTTACACAGC